TTTCAAGCATCATCCATTATTAAAATGTAATTCATAAACCAACATCCATAATTTGAATATAATCTATAGAGAATCATCCATAATTAAAAATTTAAAATACAATCCATTAAGCATCTCTAAACCATAATACAAATACAAACATTAACTTCTAACTTTCAAATCTTGGCATTCCCTAGGAAAAAAAATCCTATTAACTCAAATAATTTATCAAAATATTCAAGTGTGAAAAATTAATATATCAAGCAAATAAAAATTTAAAACTTACCCAAGTCATCCAAGAGGCTAAAACATCATTAATCTATCATATATCTATTATAGTTGGTTCCATAGAAAGTGTTGCTGTATCTAAAAAATAAATCAACACTTTAACATTATTAAATATTAAACATCCTAAATAAAAAATAAAAAAAAGACAAATGAAAGAATAGAGTTAATAAAATTACCTACTTCAATTTTCTCAACATCTTGTAAATCTTCTTCAATATTAATTGGTGTTAATGAATTTCAAAGCCAATCTTGAGCACATTTAAGAGATTGCACAATGTTATGAGTTAAATAACTCCTAAAAGAGTAAAAAAATCTTCCTCTAATACTAAATACGGATTCTGAAGCAATAGTTAATATTGGAACGACCAACACATCACGAGCCATCCGAAAAAGATTGAGAAATCGAACACAATTGTTTTTCTATCACTTCAAAATATTAAAATATTTATCCTTTTTTTTTACAGCTTCATCAAGATACCTATCCAACTTTGATTTATTTTCTCCACCTTCAATATCAATCTTGTATTTTTGATATTTTAATTTCATCTCATAAACCACACGCCTTGGCCCTTTCTCAACCATTTCTTCATTTGCATCTTCCATTCTCCCACTAATTTGATCAATATAAGGTCTTGCCGACCCATAATATGAATAATACATGGCATATATAGATTCTTTTATAAGATTTCCCATCATTTCACCATTAAATTCATTGAAATAAAATTGAACAAATCGAAATTTATGCCTAGGATCAAGAATTGTTGCAATATAAATCAACTTGTTACTTTTCTTAATGTCTCCTTAATACTCATCAAACTTTTCTTTTATTATTTTAGCCATTAAACAATCATCGACATCGGAAACTTGTTGCCATTTTCTCAAAACATATTCAACCACACAAACCTCTTCAAAGAAAGCAATAGAAGTAAAGTCATAAAAAGTTTTCAACCTGGTCACCATCTTCTTACAAGCCATTCAATCATTGACATTAGGCGTTCTAAATACTTTTTCACCATGGTCTACATCAAGTTCACATTTATGTAAAGAATCAATTTGCCCATGTCTCTTAAAATCTCTCTCAAATTTTTGAGTCTGTATCCGATATCAAATAAGTTGAATTCCACCTAGTTGTAACATCTAGATGTAACAAACTCTTAGAATTAGTCTTTTCAATCTTAATGTATTTGTTAAATATTTTCAACCTAGTCGAAGATTATCTCACATACCTCATGATTGCTTGAACATGAAGGATCAAAGGATTAATATTTTTTAACCCATCAACAACAATAAGATTCAAAATATGTGCCACAAACCTCATATGAATCAATTCTTCATCTAAAATAGTATGAACTCAAGTTTTAATAACACTTTTAAGTGTCTAATTGTCACATCATTCGAACTTGCATTGTCAATCGTAATAGTAAAAACCTTTCTAATCTCCCAATCAATTAAGCACTTCTTAATGACATTGCTTAAATCTATAACCTTATGGCTATTAATTGAACAAAAATTCAAGATCTTTTTATCCAACTTTCAATCATTATCAATGAAATAGGTCGTTAAACACATAATTGATTTTTTGAATAGATGTCTATGTGTTCGTAGTGAGACAAACTATTTGAGAATTCGTTTTCAAGAATTGTTTCAACATTAATCTCTCATTTAAATAAATTTGATAGCAACCTCTTGAAACCATAAACTGTGATGGAATTTTGAATCTAGTTAATACAATGGACATAAACTTTTGAAATCTCATACCCTCTATAAATTTAAATGAAAGTTCATCTATAATGATCATGTAAGCTAAATCATTTCTAATAACATTTTGATCAAACTTCCATGTGCTAATAGTGCTTTATCCTTGAGAATTTGAGTGAAAGTTTAATTAAGTTTGTGAAGTCTCAATGCTATAGGGGTGTATTTTACATATAGTCATATAAGACTTAAGTGCGGTAGTGCCATTTTTTATAAGATGAGCGACAAGTACCTTATCATAATAATTGTACCTTCCTTCGATTTTGTCATTTGCATCTTCAAACTTGGTGAAATGATTCCACACAATTGATTTTGCCTTCATTGGTTTTCTCTTCTTTCTCCTATCATATTGTGTATTTGTTTGAGCTACACTTAGTGGTTAATTGCTTGAACTCATAATTTATTCAGAGTTGCAACATCTACACAAAGGATAAATCATTATTTTTATTTATAATTATAGGAATCACACAAAAGTGAAAGAGGAAAATAATAAGTAATTTAAATTTGATCTTAAATTCTTTTAAGAAAAGCAACAAGATGAGAGCATTTTGAAATTTTTGTATCAAATGATATTGGTAAGAAGGCTTTGAGAGAAACTACATTGTCTCCCGCCAATTGTAGCAATGATTTGTGTGTATAAATTTATGCAAACAATTTTGTTTTCAAGATATAGCAATCGTATACGAAATAAGGAAATTGATCATGTTAAGATGCCATTCAAGAACTAAATAGGAACGAAGAGATTTGGAATAAATTTGTTGCTTGATGCTCCAAGGCAATATATATATATACATATATGATCTTACATTATGAAGAAACTTATAATTTTCTTATCGGTACCAAATTCGAGACCTTATAATATATCAACTACTTTATGAGTTCCAAGTTTTTTTAAAGTTGTTGAAAGTTACATGAACTTTACTAAGAATCATAGAATCTAAGAATTGATCATTGTTTCCCTATATTTCGAGTCTTCCATGTGATTTCAAGATATCGAAAGGTTACTTTCCAATCCATAAACTTGTGTTTAACAACAAGCTTTCATTTATTCTTAAATGCACCACCATTGTTCCAAATGCTAATCTTTAGCCGCATAATGTAGTCTCTTGACGCATTATAGTTGCCACCAAATGAAGGGCATAAATTTTTCACACAAAATTAAGGCCTAAAAGAATTAAAAATTCACAAGCACAACACATCAATCTTAACGCATCAATTTAGCAAAAGAGTACACAATATTCAAAGAGTAAGAACAAAGGAATTAGAAGAAATCTTATTGTGTTCGTGATTGTGGGAATTAGGTCGGCAACTAGGATATGGCCGGTGGTTGTGGGTGGAGGAGGAGGAAAAAAGCCAAGGAAGATCAAAGAAATCACAAGAAAGATAAGGATTGGGGTGTTCATAGGAACAACCGAGACTTGATGAGGACCGGAGTTTGGAGGAGGAGGATGGACGATGGACGATGGAGAGGTGGCTCGAGTGGGTGTGGTTGTCTTTGGTGGGCTGGACTAGGTGGTAGGCAAGGGCTGGGGTGGTCGTGGGTGTGGATGTGTGTGACGAATAATAGAGTTTTGTCTTTTTGTGTTTTGGCTAGATAATAAATATCGTGGGTAGCTGGTAAGGGACTAAGACTAAGGAGTTGTTTGGTAATTAGCATATCCGATTTTCGATGGAAATCAAAATTTTTTTAAAAAATTGAACCGAATCGAATAATTTTGATTTTCGATTTCAGCTTTTTTTTACAATTTTTTTAATACAAAACCAAACCGAAATTGCTAATTTGGTTCATTGTGCTCACCTTTAATACGGAGGGCGGATCAAACAATAGTTATAGTTAGATTCATAGCTATAAATAACAAAGACAACAAAAATGACTGCGGGAACGATGTTAGCAATATCCGGTTTAAACCAAATAACCAAATCAAACCAAATTGAACTAAAACTAATATTTTGATTCAGTTTTTTTTTTAAATTGAGTTAAAACTAAATCGAACGAACCAAATTTATTTTTATTTAGTTATTAATTTTTGATTCGATTCTCTTCAAAACGAAAACGAAAACATATATATAACTGATATTTTGATTCAATTTTTTTTTTAAATTGAGTTAAAACCAAACCGAACCAAACCAAATTTATTTTTATTTAGTTATTAATTTTTGATTCGATTCTCTTCAAAATCAAAACCAATATATATATATTCAAAATGTGTTTGAAATTTGATAATATGGTTTCAATATATTTGAAAAATTAATTATTTTTTATCATAAATATTTTAGATGTGGATTAATAGATTTATATTTAAATTTTGATACCTTATTAGTTATTATGCGATATAGTTTTGTGTTTTAGTTTTATTTAAACAAATATCTCTTATCTTTCATATAGACTGATTTAGACTATTTGGACTAGAAAAAAAAACTTTATAGTTCATAACATAATTTGTTTTCCAATTTATGTTATTTTCATTTAAAAAATAAAAAATTCAAAAAATAAGATTTTGAGAACAAATGGTTTTTACCAAAAATTCAAATCCAAAAGCCTAAATTTCATTTTCAAAAACCAAAAAATTAAATATTAATTTAGTTCAAATTTGATTTTTTTTTATATAAATTTAATTAATAAAAAAATCGAATCAAAATGTAAAAAACGAATGCTCACACCCCTCTAAATGGAAACTACTACTTTTGGGGAAAAAAGGATGGCCTTGTCATTTATCAGCCCAAAATCCAAAGAACGTTAAGCTGGGCCAAGAAAACTAACTTCCTGAATCGATGGCCGTAACCCAAATTATCCGTTAAAAATCAATAACATTATTGTCATGAACCAAGGGATCATCTTATACAAGAAACCTTATCTAACGGTCCAAAACACAAACACACCATACTCCAGAAACCACCAGATTTCCCTACCCAAACCCTTATCCTACGCACACTTGAGTACAAACAGATTTACACTCTCTCCTCTCTCTCATCGAAAAATGGCCGCCGAGTTACTTCCACCGGAAGGGCCCATCACCACCGCCACCACCACCACAACAGCACTCGCCGCAACAGACCCCGCCATTACTGCAACAACAACAGCTCTAGCACAATCAGAAAACCAAGGGCCACCGCCATCAATACCAAAACGGCAACGTCGACCAAGCGTCCGTCTCGGCGAGATCGGTGACCATCATCACCAACCAGCATATGACTCGCACGTGCGACGCTCAACAAAGCAGCTGCAGCATCAACATCACTCATGGCGCATCCCTAGAGACTCGTCAAAATCAATCAAGGCTCGTTCTTTAACCCATCTAGTTAACGGCAACAACAACGAAATTGAAGAACAAGAGGGAATTAACAATAATCAAAACGGAGAGGTAAATCTTGTTGAGTTTGGTCATAGAAGGAAAGCGAAGAGAGCGACGACGAAGAGAGTGAGATCGAATTGGATTTCATCGAATTCGAGAATCGATGAAGGAGATACTAATTTGGAGAATTCAAATGGAGAGGAAGGGTTTGTTAGGGAATTCGATCTTGATTCGGATAGTCCTTTAAAAGATCAAAGTCCGGTCCATTCTGTTGACAATGTTGCTTTAGATTTCTGGCATGGGAATCGGAGAACGGGTACGGGTTCCGGTCGAGTTAGGGTTACAGAGAGTAGGGAAAATGAAGGAATAGAAATGGAGACTAATGATAATGATAATAATTCGGAGCGAAAATGGGAAGGCGTGAGGACTTGGTTGATTGAGTTAGGGTTAAGTCGATACGCGCCTGTTTTTGAGATACATGAAGTTGATGATGAAGTGTTGCCGTTATTGACATTGGAGGATTTGAAAGATATGGGAATAAATGCAGTTGGTTCGAGAAGGAAACTGTATTCTGCAATCCAGAAGCTTCAAAAGGGGTTTTCGTGAGTTTTGAACTTTTCTATTTTTGGGTTTATATCTTTTAGTATAATTGGTGTAACTTTCTTTTTTAGTATAAAAACCTCGGTCATGGATGAATTGTGATAATAGATAAAAATGCATGTCTGAGATGGTTTGAGCTATCTTTTTTGACTAATAATAATGTGATAATAGATAAAATGAATTGTAACTTTCTTTGCTAGTTTTGGTATCAAGTTGTCGTTTCTTGGTATTGATTTCTTGTTTGTGCTGTTCCATTTTCTTTAATCTTGCAATTTAACATGTTTGATAGTATTTTCTCGTTTTAAAATCCTTTGAAGTTAATGTTTATTGCATGGCGAAGATGGAAAATTTATCACTCTCTAGAGGTTTGTATTATACGTGTTGGAAAAGTACATGTTGCTGATATTTTAAGATATTTCTTTCCTAGCAATGCCATCTGGCTTTTCTTCCTATGCATTATACTTTCGTGATATAGTTATTATCTGAGTAGTTCTGTTGTCATATGTGATGGAATCGTTTTAATATTAATGCTATACCTTTCTCTGTTTGGAGATTGAGATGATTGGTTGCTGTTTAGTTTCTTGACTTAATCCTTGTGTGTGAGCGGTAAATTTTCTTGTTATTCCAGGTTCCACAATTATGTCATTTGACTTGCCATATTGGTCCTCGTCACCAAGGTCAAGCTTTTGTGTGCTTTGTTAATATCGCTGATTAACTCCACTACTGCTTTAATGGGTAGCTTCTTTGTTTCAAACTCACATAAGCATATAAGTTTAGGGCTTAAGATGAGTTCAATAAAGTCAAGTACTAGCATGAACAGTAGCATAGTCATCTGATTCTCGATACTGGAAACTGTGCCTCTCATAGGGTGAATTTCTGATTTCCGAAGTGGTTGCGAATTTCCAAATAATCTGCAAAGCCATATCACTCTCTTCTAACCCTCTTCCCCTTTCACATTTATGTCTTTGATCTCACAAAACTTAAGCACACTGATGCAAAGCTTCTTTCTTGTACGAAACTGTAACGGGAATCAGGGATTTGTTCCATATATTCACCCCGTTCACTGCGAGGGGCTGGCAGTTCCCCCTGCTCCTAACTTTTTTCTTATGGCTTCAGATTAATTGGCTCAGTTTAAGCCTAGAATGATGGTGCATCCTGATCATGTTTGTACTGTGTTCTGCTTTGGCACGTGTCATACATGCTAATCAGTTAGCCCATGTTGAAAGATTATTCTGATGCCTGGACGAATCTCTCATTTAAGGAAAGTTTTCATTTAACAAATCTCCAAATTTTGTCTGAGCAAGAGGGTTGGTTGCGCCTTGTTTATGTAGCGTAGGATGAATCTATTGTTGATCCAATGTAATTTGTCTGAGAGGAGTAAAATTGCCATCCTGTTTTTGAGACAATTCATAGGCTTGCAAAAACATTTTAGGATTAAATTATATGTCTGTCTTTCTTAAGTCTAATGTTCTTTCATGAGTTACGCTTCAGATAATGAACAGCTCAAGGATTGGTGTGAACTTGATGAGGTAGAATAGTGCCAGAACATTATCTTCTTTATAGAAATATTTGTGATAAAAATAATTCAAGATAGAAGTATGTTTGTCATAACAGTCAAAGCAATTTCTTTGGATAATGGAAATGGCAAAACGTGGTATCCAAAAGCTGAAAGTTAAAGATTTTGACTTCTGGCAAAGAAAAATTATGTAAACTTAAATCAAAATTTGTAAAGCCATACCAAATGGACTCCTAATAAATAATGTGCTGGCTTATGGTATGTGGGAAAGTTAAGAATTCATTCTGAATCAAGAACTCCATGCAATGAACACAGAAAGCACACACTCGCATCATAACTGTGTCGTGTTTGCCCTCTCCAGGAATGATGTTGTCCCTTATGGAACTGATCTTTCATATTAGATAGAGTTATTGCTACCCATTGCTGGAAACAGCATGCTGTAATCGTCTATGCTTTGGACGTAAGTGCTAAAAAGAGGAAGCTTTTTGTTCTATCTTAAGGTACTAATTGCATGTGCTGAGCCATCTATAATTTGGGTCTACCCATAACAAACCTATGAAGTACTTTCAATCTTAAATTTCTACCTGGTTGAGCTGTAGCAAGTTTTCCATTTTTTTTATTGGTTTGTTTCTTAAGTTTAATAAGGTTTCAGCTGCTTTCTTCCCTTAATTCTGTCAGTATTATAAGGTTTCTAATAATGTCACATATTGCCTCAGCAGGTTGGCTAAATGTTATAAGGAATGAATTTCCTTTCATGCATCCCTCTTGTGGGGTTATGGCTCTTGTCCTTTATCTCTCACTAGAACTGCATGCTAAAGATTCTTAGGTCCCTGCTTGTTATATGTGAACTGTGGGCATTGCAGATTGTATCCTTTTCATACATGATGAAGGGGTCTACTGCTGAATCCTTATCCCGCTTAAAACCATTTGTGCATCTCTGAAATTAATTGCGCTTTCATTTCATTCTTCAATTCTATTTGAGGTGTATTTGGGTTAAACCATAACTGGCTTGTATTTGTATGTAGGTTTTAATGAACATTGTACATTGATTTGAGTTTGAAGGTTTTTAGTAAGTTATCCAAATGGATATATAGTTCTGAAGAATGTCTTGGTATGTGGTAAGTTAGGGTAATGCCTAGGGTTATACTTAAAATATTTTACATTACTAAGTGATGTGGCATGTTCATTACAGAAGGTTTTCGAAAACTCTAGGCACCCCTAGCATTACTCTAATGTTAATTATGCTTGTGTGGAGGGGAACCTCTACAGTCTAGGTCAAGGTAAGCATCCCAAACTGTCTGATTGGTGGAATATTAGCCGTTTGAAGAATGAAGCAAGTGATTAACTAGTAATCCATGAAGATTTCAGCTATATTCAAGATTTGTCTGTGTAACCTATGGAGACTGCACATGATGTAAATGATTTGGAAAAGCTGAGTTGCAGTTCTGTGTATGTCATGCGGGAATGAATATTGAACACATGGAATACAGAACCTAATCGGAGCTGTGGACTTCTTGCTTTACGGTCGTTGACATGATTTTTACATGTAGTGTTTACAGTTTGACACTGATGTTTGCAATGTTTTGGGTGATACTACTGAAGTTCTGGTAGTGCATATGCCTTCGCTTCATTTTCTTTGTGTTTGTGATGTGTTCTATTGTTTCTTTGTTTTCAATTCTAGTTGTTTAATTACACCATTTCAAAATCATAATTGAGATTATTACATTTATTTCCTGAATTTGTGAATAATCTTACACTTCAAGACCAACAATGTTAAGATGTATATGCATCTTGCCGGATTACATGTGTGCATGAGTCCTGTATTTGTTCAGGTTTTTCAAACCAGTTGCTAACATGCTATGTTCTTGTGGGTGGGTGTTCACTGCTATCTGTTGTATGGCAGAGGAGTTGTCCATTGTCGTGGCTATCTGCGCTGAAGTTTAATTGTTCTGGGTGGGCATAAGTAAAGGTTATGGTTATGATTATGGTTCTGTGTGGGCTGAAGTTTAATTGTTCTGTTTGGGCATAAGGTTATGGTTATGGTTATGGTTGAGTTTGACTAAGGCAATTAACTTTAAAATACTGTGTCCTGGGCAGAACTTCTCAGGATTTGACGGGTAATGGTGTGAAGGATTGTTTTCTGACTTTTAAACTGTCCTCTTACCTATTTCAATTCCTTATGATTCTTACTTCAGTCGCAGCTTAACTATCCTTGATGTCTGGCTTATGGATAGGAAAGCCCAGCTCTTCACTGCCTTCACAGGAATGACAGAGACAAGAATGCTAATAAAGAAAACGAGTGGTCGTTCATCACATGAAGTTTGTCCTCGTTAATAAAACAATTATAATTAAATATGGATCAAGCCCGCATAGCTTGGAAATACATTTTGGGTTATGTTATTTACCCCAAAACTGTAAACATCATTTTGGGGTATTCCAAACTATTTTCTCCAATTAGAGAAGTGAATTAAAAAGAAAAAGAAAAATAAATAACAGAACCTATTAGCTGAAAAAAGAGAAGAAAAAGAAGGGGAAAAAACGAGCGTTTTGATAACTTAACAATGATACAAGTGAGAGAATTAAATTATGAGATTTTATTTTGGCTCTTTTAAGCACTTCTACCATAGTGCAGCACCATGACATGCTCTGTGGTTGAGGATTCTGGAAGCGAAGTGAGTGCATCTCTTGGGCTCCATATGTTATCCCTTACATGCTGCAACGTCAAGAAAGGTAGAAGCTGTTGCCCTCTACAGGTTATCTCTATCTGCTTTTATCAATCACAATCGTACACACACACACGCGCGCGCGCGTCAACAAAAAAAAAAAAAAAACGTTAGCTAGGTATATAATCAAAATCACATTTAAATAATTCTAAATTACATCACACACACAAGCATGAAAGCAAAAAGGGTTTGATATTGTAATGATACCTACTGATCATTATCACGCTGCATACTAGAAGAATATCCAGTCACTTTTGAATTAATAGCTCAAACCTAAATCCATATCTACATCATTCATTTAAAAAATAAACCCATCTACGTCCTTCTTTATCTCTCTGTAATTTTTTTTTTTAAGTTTTAATTAAACTATTAAATAATCACACGCCAAAAAAAAAAAAAAAGAGACCATTTACGCATCCTTGCTTATCTCTTTGTATTTTTTTTTTTTTTGTTTTACTTTTGAAATATTAAATAGTTAGAACAAGAACACGCCAATTCCTATTCTTCTCTTGTATAGAAAGGGAGAGCATCACGACTATATATGCTAATCCCCTATTGGTCTGCTAGATGGAAATTACTCATCTAGGATTCTAAGTTAATTTTAATCTCCATTTTTAAGCATTTAGCTAGGTAACACCAAATTTCACTTGGAAGTAACGAAAGATGTGAGCATCTATATACATATATTTATAGATGTAAGCAGCAAACAACCTAGATATATAGTGGTGACTTTAATTTGTTTCAAAAAAAAAAATAGAAAAGAAAAATCGAATAGGTGCTAATAAATAAATATAATGTATTCGAAGTTGAAGATATATATATATATATATATATTTGAAGTCATGCTTTGTCACTAGCTTACGTTTTTCCCACGGCCCCATAAATGTATATCTTTGTAACGTCTACTTTACCCATAAAATTCCATTCTTTTACTCCTCCGTCCTCATTCCTCCATGAGACGCAACAAAATACTCCGGTCAGCGGTCAGCCGTGACAATCCACCCTTCGGGGCTGCCCGTCCCAGCACCCACGATCAAGAAAACTGCCCGAGTTTAATCATTACGGGACCCACCTAGACTTTGCTCGTAAGCCAAAATCATGAGCCCTTAGACTTTATTTTATTCTCCTTATCATTATAAGTTATTCTATACACCACAAAAGATTTTATAATCTAACCAGTAACCATAATCTAAAAAGAAAATTGGTAATGGATCCGCAAACCACGGCAAAGTAAAACCTTTTTATCTTCAACAAAACCTGACTAACTATGCATCAATCTAAGGTCATGCACGTCTACTTCACGTTGCTTAGTCGACCTAGAAAATAAACCCTAATATTATTAATATAACAAGGTCAATATTCTTCCATGAAATATTATATTGCATGTGTTTGATTTTCATTACTTGGTATACGTATACATGTAGATAAAACCTGGCCAAACTCTTTTTTAATTTGTTCGGTAGTTGTTCAATTACATGATCAAGATTATGTTAATTGTGAAGGATTATCTATTTATTTTATTTTGCATGCATATCGTGGTTTCACCAACTATATGGAATTCATTTTCGTGGATGAGACTTATCTGTCTTTTAATGCCTTTTATTTTTGTTCCTTTTCAACTACTAGAAATGATTCTGTTGTGGATTATTCACTCATGCATTGCTTTCCTCCGACGTAAAATATATGAGTGGGTTTTTATAATTTTCTTTATATTAGTGGAGTTTGAGTTTTTTTTTTTTTTTTTTTTCGGTTGGCCAGAGAGAGATGATGATGATGATGTTGATGAAGATGGGGTCATTTAAAATTCTATCAAAGTGCACCACTTAATGCGTTTTTGATGATGGGTCTTTTTGAGAACAATAATCTCTAAGGAAAAAAAGAAAAAGGGATGAAAGCTGAGCTGAAGAAGCGAAAGCGTGACGAAAGGGAGAGATAACGCATGCAGAATGGAGAGGGGAGGTTCGATAATGACATGGTCCACGTGTGATTTTTTAGGCCCTACGATATGATTTCATTTGATGTGTTAGTATCAACCTTTTCTTTTTCCCTTTTTCTTTTTTGTTATGTTATGTTAATTAAGTGTCAACTAGGCCAAGACAATATCCACATCCAAGTTGATGATGTTTTTATAAATATCTTAAAGTCAATGCTAGCTTAATAAATTTTCAAAAAGGAAGGAAACCTTCCCACCATGAACACATCTTTTTAGCTTTCTTACATGTTTGATTATTACCCTCCTGGACTATATATTACTTATATATGCATATATGTCCTTAAATATAAAATTTTCCAGCCAATAGATATTGTGGGAAATCCTTACAAAAATCTATACTACATATTAATATATGTCTAGAATGAAAACAAGTTATTATTATGATTGAATGATTATCTAGTTTCACATAGATGATAAATTGATTTGAGGACAGAGCCCTTAATTTACGCCTAATTAAGCTCATTAGCTAGCTAGGGCTCATTATTTTCCTCGAATGCAATTATAAATTCGACCTTGTCTTTAACAAACACTTAAAAAGTTTTAATCATTGAGTACTTAGTTGCATGCATTGTTTTAAAGCAGATGTCTTGCATATATATCTATCCTGGGCGGCATGAACTAATTACTTCCTAGAGGAAACTTTATGGATCAAGTTTTATTAATGTCACCTGGGCGGTGGATCCAACACCAAGAAGTAGAAATTGCCGAATCAATGGCATAGTTAAGCTGATCAGTCTCTCTCTCTCTCTCTCTCTCTCTCTCTCTCTCATATATATATATATATATAACAACTCAGGTATAATTAACATGATCCTTGCTACTTCTAATTCTACATATAAAAGCAAGCAAATTATATAAGAAGAATGTTGAATTTGTCATATAGCCTAGAAAACTACAATAGTTTATGTCATGGATGATTGTTTTGTGATTAGGTGTGATCAGTTTAGGTAAGAATATAAAATAGATGCATGCTAATTTTTAAATTTCAAGAGTAGAAAGAGACAAAGAAGAGTTCGGACGATTTTTGGTTGTTGGTTTGTTGCAATTGATAAAATAAGATATGGTGTTAACGGCATCTCCTTACTTCATGGCATGGCATGGCATGAATTGCAAGAAAGCAACAGAAATATATACGGACACGATCCAAATTAATCATCCGCTAAGGGTTGACCTAATTACAAAGTTATACGCAAAAACTAGGTCATATTAAAACAAAATGGAATGGTGAGCATGTCATGTTACAACCTAACAAGCCAAAATATATGATTGTTAATCTATATTTATGTGTTGTAGGTAGCGAAGACAACAGATACACAAGCTATATTTAGTAACCACCCAGGACAAGGAATGTATATGGCCAAATCAACTGACACTACGTGGTTATATATATATAAACTATATATCCATCCAGGTTTGAGTTCGAGGTTTTTAATGATATGCTGTCTTGACATTCTCTTCTCTTTCTTGTTTGTTACCCTAGAAACAAACCTAAGCATTGCTAGCCGTAGAAGACAAGGGAGAATGGATGGCTCTAGATCAAGTAAACATATACTAGCTTTTATTTTAATCGTCTTCTATCAAAAAGAGAAAAAGGAAATGGGAAGGCATGAAAATTGCACCTATAATATTACAAATTGGAAGAATTTTTCAGAAGAAGAATTTGTGTACTGTTCTTCAAGTATAATGGACGACCTAAATATATATGTACTAGAAGAAAACACTAATTGGCCCCATATGTCTCAACCTCTTAAATTCAATTTGTTGGCTTTACTATATGATGGAGAAAGTACCGGCTCAAGACAAGTTCTGCGACTAAATGTTTTTGATTATGAATTAGAGTAATTTTTAGTTTTTCTTTACTTATATATATGTAATTAATACTGAGTAGCTAGAAGTGAAAGCATATGATAGGCATGCGCACCGTCATTTTTATTTTTTATTTTTGGTAAGCCACAAAAGACATATAAAAGAGCACCATAGTAATATACTTCACTTGACGAGGAAAATATAAATAGCCTAGTTAAACACTAGAAACTATAAATGGAAAAAAAGAAAAAGAAAAAATGGATCAAGTTATAGTTTTAGCAGTTATATTTCATCCTAAGGGTTCAACAGGATGCAAATCAAATTCAAATGGAGCTGTGCGATCTACGTGTATAGCCTTTTGCTTTCATATAAATGAAAACACAACTTGGTGATTTATCTTTTTCAACTCCATTATTTGCAATGATCTGCATAAGGATTTCATTCAGTTCCTCTTCTTTTGTGCTAAATATGAATCCCTAAATATTAAAATCTTTCGTTGGTTTATCAGTATGGTGCGTGTCCCTAACATGGCTGTCTTTTGTGCCCTAGAAAAAGTGTCAATAGAATACCATTGCAGTGCACAGTGGAAGTCGATGATATTCCAATGATACAGAATGAATAATGAGAAACCATAAGATCACAGGTGCATCTCACACTCTATATGAGACTTTAATGAGAGTATATTTAGTCTATGAAAAATTCTACAAAGCCCTATGTTTAATAAATCATTGGCACATTTGTTTTTCTTCTAAATTCATTTCGAAATAAGAAATAAGTACAGAAATAAAGATTGAAAATATTACATATATGTTTTTTTTTTTTTTGGAAATAACAGAAAAGGATTTTATCTAAAGGAGGTTGCAAAATTAATCGCAGTTAGGCCTATCTAAAAATTTGAAATCTAATTATATCTAGTTAATTAAGATTAAAGCGATAATGTATATCTCTAAGAATCCACACCCTCATGAATCTAATTTTTTTTTAAAAAAAAAATCATCCTCGTGAATAGACACATGCACGCACAAAAAAAAAATAAAAAAAATGACAGCGTAAAATTATTTTATTTTTGTTTCTCCTTTTATAGCCCTTCAAGCATCATATTCTTGCTAAACTATCCTAGGAATACTCACAAGAAAATAGTCACTTTATGAATCAATAATCCCTCCTTTCATATGCTACAAACACTTTCCTTTTTCCCTTCCCCAAATCCATGGCTATATGCACCATGCATATACAAATTTGAATTTGCAACTTTTCTGGTTTCTAAAATTTTCTCTCTTTCAATGACCTAAAATGATTGAGTTGATTTATTATTTATATATGATTCAAGAAAGCCTTGAGGCAGTGATTAATGCGTTTAAGGATAGTAAAAATTATTTTATTAATTATATGTTACAGATCAGGAAACCTCAATTTCATGCAACGAAACCTAATTGAGTAATTTTATCTGAATATGTTTCATGAAAATACTCAATTAATAATCATAAAAATAGAGAGTACTCGATTACTATCTTAATTATAAGGAACTTTATTTTAATTATGGTAATAACAATAATGAAAGACATAGCTAGCTAGTGGGTATTCGATGATGTGTGCATGAGAAGCTTCGTATAAATGATGGGCACACCTTTATGCATGCACTGAATCTGAAATGAAAATTCATATCTCCTTTTATGATGCATCGCACGCATGAATTTATCGTATATAACAAATTGTCCTCAATAATGGCAAAAATACAAAGTTAATCTACTATCCGGTACTTTGATACGGCGATTACTTTCATCCTTCCAAGACCTCATACACCTTTTTGTATGTAAATAATTGTTCCATAGACAATGCACGTGAATTATAATGTACACTTAATAAGAGAATCAGATAGTTTCTTAATAATTCCATGCATGTCAAAGAAAATTAATAATGTTTACTAGGATAAATATATATTAAGCATGCAGGAAAATACGATGATTTTATTATAATTTGAAAGTAGATGATTTTAAGAATTTCTTTTCAAATGGATTTAAAACTTGACAACCTTTTTTTTTAGGCTGAAGTTCAAGCATCTACGGATGAATAAAAGGTAAAAATATTTGTAGTAGTTCATTGAGTACAAGAAATTGAAAAAAATAAAAATAAATTAAAGAACCGAAAGATTGAATGAATAAATTAAACTACATTAATCCTATGTTTCAGAACACAGCCCAAAACGATTACTACAACATAAATTCCATCTGTAGCAAACAATTAACGAGCGTATACTTTTCTGTTTTTTAGTTTTTTGATAAATACACGATGCCCGAACATATATCTATCTGGCTGTCTATCTATCTATATATATATATAGGAAATCCAAACTCTATGTATTAGAACATGCCTCTTAATTCCTTCATATACTAACTGAAATAATTCTTGATAGATATAGTAATCCATCTCCATTACAGTTTTCTTTGTTGCTTGATGCAAAATTTAAGTTCTATATTTAATAATTAATTAGAGAAGTATCAGATATTTATGAACAGTGCTATTCCTAATAGTGCAACATAGCACAATCAGAAGTTCCTTGTACATATATATTTTTACATCTATATAATTGATGATAAATGTAAAAATATTTCGCCAAGAAAATCGGTCTGTATACATATATATAATTGATGATAAATGTAAAAATATTTATGAATAGCGCTATTCCTAAATCGGTGAATATCATCAATTATCTATACAGATAATCAAGACAAATCGGTCTATGATATTTAATTCTTAGAGATAATCAAGACTGACCCTCGATTATGTCTAATGTACCAAGAAAATTCCGGACTTCCCTAGCAATACTTGTATCAACAGCCAGTTATCTTAAAACAGGCAGGAAAGGGGTAAAACAGCGAGAAAGTTAGTGACTTAGGTTTCTTCTCCAAGGTTTTGCATTTTAACCCATCCTACCTCCTTATATGTATGTTTTAGTGCTTAATTTGCTTCGCTTTATGCCTGTTTTGTGCTTTCTCTTATTGTTGTATCATTATTAATATTTGTGCCCGATCATTGAAACGTTACTTTCATAAATTAATGTTGTGGTCTAAGACAGCAAATTCCATTTGTGAAGGATAAAAGGCTACTCATTTCAATTTATTTTGGGAGTCATGGGAAGAAGGTGGTAGGTAGTTTTCTACATTATCTCCAAACTAATACACTTAAACCCTACAACTCTTTAATCTTGTCAATGAAAACATCCATAACTAACTAAACATTAAATTGATGACCATTTTAGAAGATTACATACCTTGTTTAGACAAACATTTTTGTTCTTAGACCATCTTACAAGGATAGATTATGGCCTAATGATACAAAAAGGGAAGATGGCTACCTAGAAATATACTTCTCACCTAAATATCAATTTATTGGACACAAAAAATACCGCTAGAGAAACGCATTTAGCTCTGCTGTTTCTGTCATTTCTCTAACACCACCTTTGTCCATATTCGTGTAATTAAAACAAGTAATTTGAAAAGATAGGGTTGTTCCCTATTTTTGGTTCTTCTATTTGTCTGTGCTCTGCCGATCTTAAGTAAGTGAGATATGCAAAATAAGGTAGGCAGCATAGTACCATCAACTACTTCTTTTTATGCATTAATTCTAATAGAAAAGGAGATGTAATAATGGTTATAAATACCTCTGATTCGCTATCCAGTCTCAGCTTGTTAACCAGGTACTTCACTAATAACCGAACTGTCATCCTTCCATCCCTAAAGTTTTAAATATCGAAAAAAAAAAAGAAAGATATAATTAAGTCTAAGAACGAAAAAGGATTCTTCAATTCCATTGATATATTAAACTTTTAATTTATTAAAAACCCAAAAAGGGAAGACCAAAAAGAAAAAGAAAACAAGTAGAGAAGATAAATTATGTTACTTGATTCTCAGGTAGCTCTTGGATATTTGTGGCAAGAAGGGTTCTTTCGTTCTGCATTTAGACATGAAAAACAAATCATTACAAAGCAGCTAATTGGACATAAAAAATATTTGAAAGTGAAATTAAGAAAGCAGAAGATAGAATGAAACAAAAACCAAATGGTGGGGCTAATCTTTCTATGTGCTTCCTCGTTTGTCTTCTCTTTCTTTCCCTTTTTTTTTTTTTTTTTTTTTTGCACTTACTGATTTTGAGACGCTTGTAGCATAAACCAAATGCCAGAATGGGGTCTTCTTGGAGGATCGATTACTCTAAAGTCGGAGCTCGGTCCTGCAACATCCATGCCACTATTTACTTGGAACGGACGCGAAAAATAGGACCCCAGTGGCATCAAAGAAGAAGAAGACGACGATGAAGATGAGGCGGTCGCTATATTATGCAACATAGGCCTAAATGGCCAGTTTATCTCTGGATGAAGAGGATACGTTGAGCTAGTTGCCGCTGGATGGTGTTGAAAGAATAAAGATGTAGTGCTAAAATTAGTGGCATGACTTGCAGCAATGTTCATGACGGGCCTTGGAGGAGCTCTAAAATCGGGAACATGAAAAATAGGAGTACTCAATGGCCTTGCTTGATGTGAAATACTACTACTGCTACCTGGTAGTAGATCAAGCTCAATCAATCCTCCTCTTCTAGTTGTACGATCAAGTACTTGCTGTTGTTGTCGTTGATGATGATGATGAGGATCGTGCTTGCTCTCATGGCTTGTTGGGGTTGCAGTTGTCGTGTGACCACCTATACTCAACTGGAGCCACCCTTCATCTCTCTCTTCTTGAACATCTTTTGAGCTTGAGCCAGCTTCATTATTAAGACTGTTAGTTCTTGATTCATCTTCCGCCATGGGAATATTAGCCACCGCTAGATCAGATCCTAATAAGCAAGCTTCGCTAACACAAGAGTCATAACCTTCTAATCGGCTCATAAGACCAAAACTCTCTTTATAAGTAGCAGTGCCTCCACCAAAATAATTACCATAACAAAGTCGATGCTGTTGCTGTTGTTGTTTAGAAAGACTTCGAGCAGGAACCATGGTCATATCCAAGAAGAAGCTGGAAAGCCGAACCGCCGATATTGATGATTCTTGTTCTTGATCTCAAAGTAAGCCATGGATATGAAGAAGGCTGCCAGACTGATTATAAGTAATACTACGACTATATTGGGAAGAGGGATCTATAGTTGATGTTGCCATAAGCATGTGCTAAAATTATGGAATCAATAGAGAGAGAGACACCCATTAACCAGATAAGGGTTTTTATTTGATGCTTCATCGTAAACATATCCAAGGACAACAAGGAGAACAAAACTTGCAAATCTCACTTTCCATTAATTCTCTTTGTTTGGAAGCTTGTGAGATGATGAAATAGTTGCAGAAGAGAGAGAAAGAGAGATGGTGGTCAGTCAGTCAGTTATGTTATAAATAATGTTAATAGTACTCCATAAATATTATTATTTTTTATACTATATTCCTTAGGGAGGTCGAAGGGTAATGTTTTTTTTTTTTTTTTTTTTTTTTTTTTTTTTTTTGACTTTGCTAATTAAGATAGACGAAATATACTATGTTCCACCTGTTTTATAACGACGAAAAAGGAATAGTAATTATATATGTATATTAAAAGGGTCATCCAGCTAATTAACACCTTTAGGCTTTTAGGGCATGTTCCAAGGAGAAAATGACTAAAAGGGCTCATTCTTTTTAGAATATCACGAAAAAAGGTCCTTTTTAGCCACAATAGTAGGAGCAAGAAGATTAGAAATATTGGAGTTTTAATTTATAGGAAAGCTAACCTAGCTACGCAATTATACAAACAGGATTATTGCGGAAATCAGACAGCTAAAAAAACTGATTCCATCGATCAGGTCTTTTATTTATTTTGGTCCCATTTGCTTGAAAGATTCCACGCGTCTTGCCCTTTTCAAATAAGATGCAGTTGGTACGTACTATTCCATCCATCCATTGTATTCTTCTTCTAATTTATAATATTTCTCATCAAACATATAGTAAAAAAAAAAATTATTTTCTTCAAAAAGATGTATTGAGTTTTGAATTACACAACACCAAATAATTCTCATTATCCAGTTAGATTCCTTCTATTTAAATTCCAGACTGTCGAGCAATTTTATTCCTTCTAAACTATTTAGCACATGATCAGAAAAATAGATAGCATGTGCATGCTAGTTGATCCAAGACAAAGAAGGCCTCTTGAATTAATAGTTAGAAAAAACTTCAATTAATTTGTTTCATACGCGTTTAATTAGCATACGAATCGATGCTACCTAATTTATCATATACATGTGCAAGAAACTTTCTTATTATTTAAAAGGAGGCCTGGATATATTGAATAAATAGTGTAAATTAACAAGCAAAGTATACATCTATATACATATGGAGTATATATTACATAAAAATAAAAATAAAAATAAAAATTGCTTTCACTAAACGCGAAACCTATACGTTACAATTGTTTAATATAAAAGTAGTACCTCTCTTTCTCGGTTAAATTCCCAGACGCATGTATTCAAAGAATGCTATGCATGCTAGCTAATGCGTGAAATTGAGAAAAAGAGGTGCCCATATGAGTGGAATAGCATAATGACGACGCTACCTGTCAATGGAAACATCAGATAGTAGTAGTAATTAATAATTAATAGAGTAATTAAAGAAGGAATTAGGAGTATGTATGTTGTTAATTAAGAGGTAATTATTATAAAGAAATAACATTAATTGTGGACTTTGGCATGCATGATGGTGTTTCCCCACAACCCGAGAATCGAAAAGCACATAACGACGTGGGCTTTGTAGGACATTCCTTGCATAAGCATGTGCTTCCCACCCTCCCAGCAACAACTGTACTGTAGGGGACTCTTATTTGTCAAATAATCCTCTCTCTCTCTCTCTCGAATGTTGGTGTCACACCCATGCCTTATGCTATGCAAATATATATAGACACACACTCTCATAGCTAACGCGAATCAAGTGATTTTTAAAATGGAACAATGGGGTTTGCTGCAAGTAGCTCCTGTCAGCGGCAGCAGCCTGATCTCTTCATTCCTGAAAAGCTGCTAATTCTCTTTCCAGCCCATCAAACATGGTCTTTTCTCATCTCTCTTTCTCAAAATATTAATAATGCCTTTTCTTTTCTTTTCAAAAGAAACAAACAAAGGCACTTTTCACAGAAAGGTCAATCAACAAATTCTCTAACTGAAACTCTGAATGGGATTACAAGTATTGACATGCTAGCTATGGAAAAGCAGGCTACTTTGCGTGCCTATTCTTTTTATAGTGGGATGCTAGCTGCTACATGTGTATTCATTGATGAGACAATTCTACCTAGCTATATATCTCAAACTCCTAGACCAGAAACGCAGTTTCTTTTATGAATAGATGGAATGTTGTTGAGACTATGTTTTTCAACATTACAGTAGCAATAAAATTAGATGATGTTTTTGGTTTCAAACCTGCTGTTGTTACATTCGTGATATCAAAAAAAATTCATTTTCTTGTTATTTTGGTTAGGTTTTATAAAAAATATCAAACAACCCAAATGAAAATGAAAATTTACTTCTATTATTTTTTTATGTCAATTTACGATACATATAACCTGGTTGGAAAATTCAATAGATTTAAATTTATTTATCAAAAGCATATTAAATATTGAAAACTCAGGAAAAAAAAAAACAAACCAATTTCATTTGGTTTATGCTTTATTCTGGAATATCATTTTTCTTCAATTCGTTTAATTTTTTGTTTGGAAAGTAAAAGATTTTGTGATCGAATTGAAATGAATTTTTCTAAACCAAAATGTTAGAAAATCTATCTCATATCGAGTAAATAAATAATTGATGAATAATGTATAATTTTTTTTAAAAAAAAACTGACCATCATAAAGTTTAAATTTTTAAATTAAAATAATTATTTAATACAGTATCAAATGACCAACGTTCAACAAAAATCTTATAATCTTATAATCCAAACTATCAGCCAAGCCACGAAAGATAGACCCTAAGTGAGGAGAAACCCAATTTATTTGACAAGTAGTAAAAGATAAGCGATAAATGAGAAAACCATTAAAGAATCTATTTCACAATTAATTAGTATTATATAAAGTTGAGAAAAAAATATTTAGTACAAAAAAAGTTTTATTTTATAAAACTTAATCTCAATTATCTAATTTAATACAAACTAACGAATACAAATTAATGAATACTTACCGACTATATCAACATATTTACATTCCTAGGAATACAATTTATAGGAATTTCATATTTTTAAAATATTCCAGCATAGCAAAACCTATTTTCTGTTTATTGTGAGATCATTTGACCTTGGACTACACTCCTGAAATTTTCACCTCGCCAAATTAGATAATTGAGATCAGTTTCATTAAAGAGTTTTTTTTTTTTTTTTTTTTGCAGTTTCATTAAAGATATTTTAATTTAGAGGTTTCAAATTTTACCCAACATGTAGTCCATTGGGGACAATATATACATTCCAAATAAAGAAGAGGTAAAAGAAGAGAGGGGTACTGATCTCTGCTGACAGTGCATGGGCATGGAATGACTTAAGCTTGGAACAAAAGCATGAAAGCTAAGGGGCAATGATAGCGATATCTTTCTACCTAAAATTCACCCTCAAGATTCCAGATTGTGGAGCAGTACTGATAAGTACCCCAAAATTTCCATTTCAAAATCAATCGGAACTCAATTAATTTTTTTGAATTTGAAAATTTTAACTTACAATTTTTTATTTTGAATTCAAAAAAGGATGGAGTCTCGGAGGTTATGTTGTAATTAGAGAACTAAGCAATGCTTATACCAACAAATTTCGTACAAAGAAAAAGAACCTGTGGTCATAAATTTAATATATGATCGGAAAAAAATCCCAAAATTTTAAGAGATGTATACCGTATTACTTAGCGAATTTCGTTCAGGTCAGTTATCGCAAGGCGGTAAGGCACACGGCAATCTCCAATTTCACATGGGCCAACAATTATTTAGTGATCATGGAGGGATTTTGTCAACGTCACTAACCAATAATTAGGGCTCCTTAATTAAATTACCCATTACATGCTTTTGGCTCTAATATATACAGTTTTTCTCGATAAGGATGTGATAAACCGCATTTAAACTTGAATATTTGTTTTTGGACTAGAGTTGCTACTAACCTAATTGAACATCATAATTCATAGCTCAAGTGGGACTTAAACTAGCCACTCTTGCAAACACTATATATGAAGCAATTAGTGCTTAAAGAAGTTGGGATCACAAAGACATAAATCCTGGATATCTGGTGCAATATCATAAGATTCTCCATTAACCGTTTTGTTTTTCCTCAGCAAAAAGAAGAATCCCCTCGCCCGGGGGGCCCCCTATTTTCTTTTTGATGAGAATTGAAAGCAGCGTTGCAACTTGCCCCCATCTCTTATTTTGTATGGTATTATAGCAAAGCTGTAGAAAATTAGTAGCAACGACACGATGCAAAACTAACAGTAATGAAAGTAAATTTGGGCAGAAGGGGAGGAAGGATATTTTGTTGGGTCCGCAAAGGAGATAGTACTGATCAATATCTCATCAGTGAACAAAATTAAAGCCCAACAAAACAATGCACAAGAAAACAACCAATGTCTAAACTTCAAACTTTTGCCTCTAGAAAGGAAGGAAGGAAAAAACATCAAAGCATGTATTGGTTTATACGTAATAATCATGCATGGGATCCTCTCTCATGACTTTTGAGACACAAAAGAGAGATGATTTCATGTATCAGAGTCCATGGAAATTATTTTTAAGTTTTCGTACAAAGCGGGGACCAATCAATAATAAGAGCTTTTTCAAAATGCTAATGTATGTTCGTTCCCATTAGAGAAAAGTGGGGTTGGTTGCTCCCTTCCCTTCTCTTCCCTTCCACTACTAAATAGATGGAGATGGAGTAATTGAGGTATAATAAAAGTAAATTTGCTTTTAATCTCGTCATCATGCCATCATCAATAACATCATCATCACTCTCACCTCAGTCCTCTGCCGTGCGACCCAAAA